AACAGTCGTTTTTTGGCAAAAGCAGATAACTCCACATTTCACATTAAAAAAAAACACTCGTTTAATCTTTGTAATCTCCTCAGATGACAATGTAGATGCCTGGCAAACATTGTTGTTGTTGTGATCATAAACTGTATGGATGTGATTACACGCAATACACAGATCTTTTTCCTCACCATTGTAACGTGCTGCATTTGCAAGCTTCCGTGAAAACGTTTCAGCTTTTATTTTCCTTTTTCGCCCTGAAGAAGATATCACAGGTTCATCAAGTTCGTCGAAATGATCCATTGTCGTTCGTTTTTAGTCAGCTTTGACGAAACTCAAAATCTTTTCAAAGTGAAAGTAGCCTTGTCACCTGACCTGAATACAGTGCGCTGATTCGCTAAAATGGACTTATCGGCTTCTGTTCAAAAACAACAAGGGCGCTTGTCGGCTTCTGCAGTAAAACGTGAACTTGAAAGTGGACAAAACCGGCTTTTTTGACAAAACGTGTTTAGGGTTCAGATCGCGCTATATGTGGAGAATAATGCACGGCAATCAGCTCATTTTTTTTTTAAGTGGCATTTATCGGTTTTTGCAAATGAACTCTTCAATTACAGATGCGTTAATTTTCCTTTAAAATCTCCCTTCCTGGTCCCGCTAGTCTGCCCTGTGCTATTTTATGATTATGATCTCCTCCAGAGAACACTGACCCACTTAAATAGAGAATAATTTCCTACCATCCATGCTATCCCTGGCTCAAATTAATTGGGAACATTTTAGGCAGATAATCGCATATCCTTTTCCGTATTCGTTTGTCAGACGTCTGCAGAACAGCTGTCAGAGGCGTGTGACGTGTTGCTCTAATGAAGCTGAGACGCTTACACTGGCCAATTATTCAAATGACTGCACGGAAAGCCAGCACATGAAATGCAGAAGTGACTTTGAATGTGTTTATTTTCAGAAGCTCAATATCCTTTGTTGCGCAGAACTGGGTCTTGTCGTACATCAGCTGCTGTTTGTGGTCCCTTCTTATTAGTCATGAATACCTGTCGCGATCACGGCGTCCTGCTGTTTCAGGGGCTTTGGGAGTTGAAGAAGTTATTCCAGCACATAAAATCATTCTGCTTTGGGTTCGGAGATGATTAATTATACATAAACCATGTCAGGTATGACTCATGCATATATTCACCTTATAATTAGAATTTGATGAGCATAATTTCCTGGACATGAGGAAGTTTTGGACTAATCTTGGACCTGAAAAGACCATCACTGGAGAACATTGTAATGTTTACCAGTGATATTTTATCCCAAAATCTGAAGGAAAAAAGATATCTCTATATATCTTTTTTTTTGTCTAGCTCTATATGCCTATTTTTAGGAAAAAATATAAAATTCTAAATTGTCTATTTAAATTATTATTTTAATTTAAATATTAATTGTTAAAATGATTACTGTTATTATTATTACTACTCCTAAAAATAAGCTGTTTTAACAAACACACACACACACACAGACACACACATGCAAAAATAATACTATTTTGTAATATTTACTATTAATAACAAATAATTTAAATGCATGGTTATATATAATTTAAATTATTACAATTAATTTTATTTTTTTTGCCTTGTGCCCCCCCAAAAAAAATATCATTAATGTACTGATGTTTTACTTTTTGATAAAAAAAAAATAAAAATAAAAATAAATAAGGTTTTGTAATTTGTATTACTATATTATTATTTTATATTCTCAATACTGTAATACAATTGTTTTTTAATATAATAAATATTTATTTTAATACAACATATTAACAAGTTGCATTACAGTAATGAGTCTTTCTTTCTTTAAGTTTTAAGCTATATTTGTATTCTTTAGTTTCTCTCAGATACTGGGTGTTTTTCATGTCCTGAAGTATTCCTATTCCTATTCATTATCTTCAAAAAACTCTTCAGTAAAGAGTTGTAGGAGTTGAACCAATGCGATCAGATTTCAGATACACAATACAATACAAGCACAATAGTGCAATGGTACAAGGCTTTTAGGTCAAAATAAATCCCCTGAAGCATTATGAATGATGCAATCAAATCTGTTGTACCATAGTTGATTAATAAATGCATTTGATGTCTGATGTTTTCTCCTAAATATATACACAAATCCAGCTTGAGTGTGCATGGTTACATAATTCCTAATATTTTCTGGGAGTGAGCAGTTATTGTTCTCTTTTGCAGTCCGTTTCCATGGGAACAGCGACTTTATTAATTTATTTTAATAATATTAATTTATTTTATTCATATTTATTTTCATGTATTTTTAAATCAATTTTTATTCTTTCTTATTTATTTAATGACAGCATTGATTTTGGATATGTATCATTTTTAGACTCCGAGCTCATGGTAAGTCTATTTAGACAGGTGTATGAGTTACAATTAAAAATGTAGTTTATAGAGTTATAACAACTTACTAAAGAATACAAATATAGCTTAAAACTTAGGACCAATTATGCCCCTTTTTGCAAGTCTCAGGTGTCCCCAGAATGTGTCTGTGAAGTTTCAACTCAAAATACCCCACAGATGTTTTATTATAGCATGTCAAATATGACTTTATTTGGGTGTGAGCAAAAACACGCTGTTGTTGTGTGTGTACCTTTAAATGCAAATGAGCTCGTCTTTTTCTGGAGAGGGGGACAGTGTGATATATATATATATATATAATAATAATACAAATTATACACATTACACACACATAGTTTTATTTTTTTCTATATATATATATATATATATATACGTGTGTGTGTGTGTGTGTGTGTGTGTGTGTGAAAATAAAGCCTATCTTTAGTAATAATAATAGTTACAACACTAATAATAAATAATAAATTACATAAAGAATGTGAATGAAACTTTTATTTCCAGAACCCGACTGTAGCGTTCCATTGTTTGTGAAAGGAAGAGTTCACCCTAAAATTAAATGTCTGAAATGAACAGAAAGAAGGGTTTGGAATGACATGATGGTGAGTAAATAATGCCAGCGTTTTCATTTTTGGCTGAAGCATTCCTTGAAATCAGAGCTGTAGACATCATACTGATGAAGCTGAGCGTTTGCTTCATGGAATCCTAATGAAACGAGAGCACTGACCTCTGCCCTTCACTTCTGTTGTTGTTTTTCCTTCATGCTTGATGGTTTTATTCCTCCATTCCAGCCTTTTACTTGCACAAATAATTCCCTGTTTTTCTTCGAGTAATGATTGATTTTGTTTTTGTCATCATATGCTGTGTGCTTGGATCTCAGAAGGTCCGAAAATCACTGTTTCTCTTCTTTCTCTTGTTCTACAGAAATGTTGAAGGAATTGAACCAGCAGCGGCGAGAGAAAGAGTTTACAGACCTGAAAATAATTGTTGAAGGCAAAGAGTTTGAAGTCCATCAAAATGTTCTAGCTTCCTGCAGCTTGTATTTCAAGGACATGGTGAAAAGGTTTGCTTTCCTCCCGTCCTTGATCTGTTCTGTTCTTTTCGTAGGGTGCATTTGTGTCGCCTCCTTTTCCCTCCCTGTCTCTTGCAGCTCTGAAGACATCGGTTCCCGTCACAGGGCCAGTAGCCATTCTGTCTGTCCCACTGACGAATGTATTTCACTGCTGAAAAAGGTCAAGGCGTCGACCGATCTGACCGTTTCATCTCCATTCACTAAGTGTGCCAGTTTGCATTTTAATGGGTGAAAAAGTTCCATGACTGGGGGTTTTGGTTTTAAATGCTTTGTAAATGTCAAAACAAATGAAAGGCAGATTTTAGGGATGCGTTTGGCATATTGGATCAGCGCTGCACTCAGCTGTCTGTGTCAAGTGCTTCGACGGGATGCTCTAGTGGTCCCACTTCACCTTTTACCTGCTGTGACTCGCTCCGTATCTCGGCAGACATTCACACGCCGCTTTGAGCGTGCCGTCGAGATTAAGGGAGCTGCGCAGATCTCGTTTATGCTTGGGGAAATTCTGTTTCTTGCCGACTTTGCCGTCTCGTATCGATGCTGATCTCAGCAGTCGGGTGTCCCGGAGCCGTAAGACTGACTGGATGTTGTTTAGAGCAAAACTGATACTGAATCATGCTTACAGGCAAAGAAATGCACAAGCCTAGAATCTGTTGTACAAGTATCAGGTGCCCTTCTGATGAACCTGCGACCGATCTGACCGTTTCATCTCCATTCACTAAGTGTGCCGGTTTGCATTTTAATGGGTGAAGAAGTTCCATGACTGGGGGTTTTGGTTTTAAATGCTTTGTAAATGTCAAAACAAATGAAAGGCAGATTTTTAGGGATGCGTTTGGCATATTGGATCAGCGCTGCACTCAGCTGTCTGTGTCAAGTGCTTCGACGGGATGCTCTAGTTGTCCCACTTCACCTTTTACCTGCTGTGACTCGCTCCGTATCTCGGCAGACATTCACACGCCGCTTTGAGCGTGCCGTCGAGATTAAGGGAGCTGCGCAGATCTCGTTTATGCTTGGGGAAATTCTGTTTCTTGCCGACTTTGCCGTCTCGTATCGATGCTGATCTCAGCAGTCGGGTGTCCCGGAGCCGTAAGACTGACTGGATGTTGTTTAGAGCAAAACTGATACTGAATCATGCTTACAGGCAAAGAAATGCACAAGCCTAGAATCTGTTGTACAAGAATCAGGTGCCCTTCTGGTGAACCTGCAAGGCAAATTTTGTCGCACATTTACTGCAAATTTTTATTTTTACATGCAAATGAGCTTTGCGGCAAACTGTTTGCAGTAAATTTGTGCTGAAGCAAACCTTTAAAACTTAAAATGTTTATTTGCATATGATACTTTTGATTGGTGCCTGACTTTTGCTAGCTAGCAGAAAGAAATAGTGGAAAAATGCACATAAAATCAAAAGAATGGAAAAAGATAGTTTGCAAAAGTTTTTCATTTTGGATCCTGTCTGTATAATAGGTCATGTCTAATTAAAAAAAATATATTATTTAATTTTAACATTTAAATTTTTTTTTTTTGCCTAGACGTTATAGTCAGAATTATGGAAGCTGGTTTCCGCCACTGAAAAAAAAATTAAAAAAGGTAATTGTGACTTTTTATCTCACAATTCTGACTTTTTTCTCAGAATTGCGTGATATAAACTCACAATTGTGAGCTATAAAGTCAGAATTGTGAGCTATAAAGTCAGAATTGTGAGCTATAAAGTCAGAATTGTGAGCTATAAAGTCAGAATTGTGAGCTATAAAGTCAGAATTGTGAGCTATAAAGTCAGAATTGCGAGATATAAAGTCACAATTGCAAGATAAAAACTCACAATTCTGACTTTTTTCTCAGAACTGCGAGATATAAACTCGCAATTCTGACTTTTCTTCTGGCAATTCAGACTTTTTTTCTCAGAATTGTAAGACATAAACTCGCAATTGCGAGTTAAAGTCCGATTTTGAGGGGGGAAAAAGACTGATATGTTCTCAGAATTGCGAGTTTATATCTCGCAGTTCTGACTATATTTCTCAGAATTGCGACTTTGTCTCGCAATTACGACTTTTTAACTCGCAATTGTGAGTTTATATCACGCAATTCTGAGAAAAAAGTCAGAATTGTGAGATAAAAAGTCGCAATTACCTCTTTTATTTTTTATTCAGTGGCGGAAACAGGCTTCCATACAGAATAGTATGAAATAATAGTCAGAAACATTTAAGTGGTGAAATGTATTGAATTTTTGCCTGCTTTTTTGTTGAGTCGACTTTTATGGCTCGTATGATGTAGTAAGAATATGGAAGAAAAAATAAACTAATTTATTTTATTTAGAGGAATTTGGTTCTGATTATTATGACCAAAAAATGAAATTATGATGCTTGGAAATATTAATATAAAATGTTTTTTGTAAAAGTCTCTTAATTTGAATTATTCTGTATAGTAGAGCATATCTAATTTTTACAATGTTGTTAAAAGTATTTTAATCCTGTAAAGGCGGACATATTAAAAAAAAGTTGAATTTTTTCAACAAAATATATAATTATTTTTTTTTTTTGCATTTTTGTTGTGTATCATATTCCAGGGGTGCCCAAGCTCGGTCCTGGAGGGCCGGTGTCCTGCAGAGTTTAGCTCCAACCCCAATTAAACACTTGAACCAGCTAATCAAGCTCTTACTAGACATACTAGAAACTTAAAGGCAGGTGTGTTGAGGCAAGTTGGAGCTAAACTCTGCAGGACACCGGCCCTCCAGGACCGAGTTTGGACACCCCTGTATTAGACCCATCAGGCTTTGATGACTCATATAGTCTGATATAGTGAGAATATAGAAGAAAAACAGCTCAATGTTATTCAGAGACTTAAACTGAGCAAAAATAAATAAAAGGTAATGTGGTACAAATGCTGAAAATTGTATGTACAAAAAAGATTAAATTCGAACAATTGAGGTCTTTATAACAGTATAACAGATAATTACATGAAATTATATAAATATCAGTCATCACTCTATATCCCCAATAATATGTCTTAAGTCTTATATATGTCTTGTATGTCTAGTAAGATGAGATTGAAATGATCCAAACATATGCAATGAGAATTTAGTGCAACAGTTTTGGTCATGTTGACCATTTAAAAGCCTTAGAAATGTGTGCATCAAATAATGATACAGGAGGCTTTACAGGGTTAATGTGTTGTTGAATGAAAGTGCACAATAATACAACTGATTGCACGCATGTGTTGTTCATCTAGCCCTCTCAGCCTCGTTTTAATCACATCAAATTAAACACAAACCAGGGTGTTGAACTCGAGGAACAAACAGATTTCAGTTGGCTTGGCATATGAAATTGCTCTAATGCTTTCATATTCCCGTCTGATATATATTGTGATGAATCCACTCCAGATTGTGCTTGGGAATCTCGGCCGGTTGATTGTGAATTTAGTCCGGATCTCAAGAGCGGCAGCGATGAAAACTGCATTAGAAGCAATAACTCAGAAGTTGTTCTCAGTGTAGCACAAAATGTGCTGATGCACCTCACAAACGATTTGAGTTCCAGTGCCTCTGGAAGCACAGAAACTAGGTTCTCTGGATGGGGAATTTCACACTCTCATTGATGTCTAGATTTTCTTCTTTCAAACGCAGAGGAAACTAGCATTTCTGTAAAAACCTATTGAGCTACCAAGGCAGCATCCTAACTGATCTGGTGCACATCAGCACATGGGACTTACAAAATGATTAGAATTAAATGAATAACAGTTCATGATTCACAAAAATTTATTCATGCATTTATACTTATGCATTTATTTATGCACATGTATTTATTTTGACTTCCGTTTTTTATTTTGTGTCTGTGCATACATTTATTTTAGTTCTTTTTTCGTTTCTGCATTTATTTATTTATAAAATATTTGTTTATGACATTATGCATTTATGCAATTTTAAATGTATTTGTTTATTTATACATTAATTTACATATTTATTCATTTGTGCTTGTATTTATGCGTTTCTGCTTTTTATATTTATGTATATATTTAGGCACATCTGTTTATTTATTTATGGACTTAAGCATTTATATATGCATTTATAGTTTTATTTATGCACAAGTGCATTTATGCATTGATTTATTTGCGTTCATTGCAATTATGAATTTGTTTATGATGCATTTGAACAGACAGTGCAATCCAGTTCAACTTCATAGAGTTCAACTGGAAAGGTCAATCCGACATTTATGTGCATTTATGTACATAGAACTGTCTATCAGCTGAAAATTCACGCTACATTAAATTGAGTCAACAGCTTTGTTCGGCAGAATAAAATCAATGGCATTTCATGATCCATAAAGCAGCAGCATACTAAACTGTTCAAAAAACACTCTTGCATTATTAATTTCTCATGCATTTCTAGTGGGAAAAATGTGAGTGGTCTTACACTATTTCAGCATGATTATTTGCTTGTTTACACTTCAGACATGCTTAATAAAAATTGACTTCAGTCTTTGAACTTTAAGGGAAAAGAAGGCCTATATGATGAATATCAAATCTGAACGAAACATTGATCTTGAAAATGATCCATGCATTGGGCTGTAATCTGAGTTTAATATCGGAGATGTCTGGCGGCCCTTTAATGAGCGAATCAGGCTGTCGTTATCAGAGTGCCAGTCATTTATATCAGTCAAACGGACCGTGTTTATCTAATCGTCTATAAAGAACACCTGCTGTATTTGTCGTTCTCAGAGAAAATGTGCATTAAAAAGTGATTCATCCATTTAGCAAATCATGCACTACACACTTCACCTTTATTGCATGTGTCTCGAGTAGAATAGGAAGCAGAAGAGAGGTTATCATCATTATTATTATTTCCACCTCACTGCCATGTCTAACTGCTTGTTGGACGTGGTCGTCCATTAATGGAACATCATTATGAGCTTTTGTTTCTCCAGACACCTTTGTCTTTTTGCAGCGTCCCTGATAATTAAGGTTTATAGGTTTAGTGTCTTAAAAGTAAAGACATGCACCCAAACAATGACAAAAACCAAAGCCGCGGTGTATCCGTCTGCCAATCAGCCCTCAGCAGATACGCTGAGCCAGCAGCCCTCTTCTAGACGGAGAGCAGCTCATCTCAGCAGCTAAAGTTAAAACGTCTTGGGGTGTATTTACACCAGGAAAGTCCGATAGTTCGCTTGCTTTGGTCCAGACCAAATACAATGTGGATTTATTATTTTTGTTTTTTGTTTTGTTTGGTGTGGTTCCCTTTCACACTGCCCTTTTTGCAAGTGAACCAGAAGTTGTAAACAAAACCACATGTGTGCTAAGGTCATCCATTCATTGGTTCATCCTTTGAACTGTACCGGAGTTCATTTGGAACCGGACTGAGACCACCTCTTCAGCTGGGTCTCGGTACGGTTGATTGGTCCGCACCCGAGTGCGATTGCTGTATTCACACCTGCCCAAAACATCCGCACTTTTAATTTTAGTTTACACTTTTTGTAGCTTAAACTAAAATTAAAATGAAAAATAATAAAATAAAAATGTTTTTTTTTTTATTTAGGTTTAATTAATATTTATTTAATTTTAGTCCTAATTTTATTTCAGTTAGTTGCTAAGGCAGCGTTTCTAATTTTTGTTTTCTGTTTAAGTTGTAAATTTTTTTCATCTAATATGTGTATTTTATTTCAGCTTTATTTCAGTTACTGAAAGTAATTTTTAGTAGTTGTAGTTTTAGGTAACAACAGTAACAACACAGAACATGACTGTCGTTCTCAATCTCTCGTGGACAAATTATGGAAATAGGCTTTCTAATGAGTTTGTTTTTGTAGGTACTCTAAAAACTTGGAGTAATTTACTGGAACTTCATGGTGAAGCCGTGAGGGAATACGCTCATTATTCATTCTGTCCACGTCTCGCTCTCTCTTTTTGGATTCTGTTTCCCCTTTCAGAGCTGGAGGCTTGTGTTATGTTGATTGACACATGAGCACAACACACACACACACACACACACACACACACACACTCTCTGCCATGGACTGAAGTAAATTAGAAATACAGTTGCTCATTACAGAAGTCGTAATGACTCGCGCGCTGGTTGTGAATCAGACATCTTGACGGTTGATAATATATATATATATTACACCTCTGTAGTTTATTTATATAAATATATAGTTTTTCTTTTTCTTTCTTCACTGAGCCTCTTGTTTATATTATGAATGTGTAAATAAGAATAATTACACATTATAAGTCAGTTAATGATAACACAAAAAAGAATTGAAACCGAAAAGTATTGAAATGCACAAAAAAGAATTGAAATAGGACAATAAAAAAAATTATGTTCTAATTGTAGTTTCCATTTGTAGTTTTCATAGAAATGTTACTTTTCAACATGAATAACACCATAAACATACGTTGCAAAATATGATATATTTACATAAAAAATTGTTGCTATTTAAAATGTTTGAACTACCACCTGTAAAAAGTTGGTTAATTTATGTATATTTCACAATATTTAATATCCATCCATCCATCCATATTTAGAACATTTACATATATAAAATTTATTTATACATTTATTATGTTATATGTATTTATTTTCATTATTTTTACACCTGTGCAACATTTATATTTTATACACAACATTATAATTCATTAGTGATTTTTGGTTGTATAATGCAGTTGTCACTCTTATAAATAATTGAACCGCACTTCGGCTAACTAGTGACAAAATGACTATATATTTGACAGCACTTAACTGAATTGAGTAATCGAAATGTGCTGTTGATAAGGCAGGTTCAAGGAATGTGAATTATGAGTTTAGCTTCAGAATCAGAAAGTGGAAGTCGGTGGCATTGACAGCTCTAGTTTGTGCTCCTCTTCCCATGAACCCCTGGGATCTGGAGCTTATTAATCTATCAACACCTCAACACCTATGAAATGACATTCTCTCCTGTAGGGATCCGCTGGAGTGCTCCGTCTACTTCACTACACAAAAGTTAGAAATGAAAAGTCAAAATGTGCAAGACTGACTTGAGACACTCTTGTTAGCGTGACCGCTTCACATAAGTGATGTATGGCACTTGAATGCGTATGAAAAGTGAACGCTCTGCAAAAGAGATTCTTCTTCAAGGTTTCATCAGCGAGAAAGAGTTTTGAGTTCTTGCAGTCAAGATGGTGCATTTAAATATTTGGTAATAGAAATCGAAGCCATTTACGCTTTCATAAGCGCATGTGCTTTCATTACACGTAATTGTGTTTTGAGTGCTGGGAGATGTGTTGTATGAGAGGAGTTTTCTTTACGCCTTTATCCAGAGCTCGTCATATACTGTATGCTTGATTTAATGCAGAAAGAACCATCCATCCATATTTAGAACATTTACATATATAAAATTTATTTATACATTTATTATGTTATATGTATTTATTTTCATTATTTTTACACCTGTGCAACATTTATATTTTATACACAACATTATAATTCATTAGTGATTTTTGGTTGTATAATGCAGTTGTCACTCTTATAAATAATTGAACCGCACTTCGGCTAACTAGTGACAAAATGACTATATATTTGACAGCGCTTAACTGAATTGAGTAATCGAAATGTGCTGTTGATAAGGCAGGTTCAAGGAATGTGAATTATGAGTTTAGCTTCAGAATCAGAAAGTGGAAGTCGGTGGCATTGACAGCTCTAGTTTGTGCTCCTCTTCCCATGAACCCCTGGGATCTGGAGCTTATTAATCTATCAACACCTCAACACCTATGAAATGACATTCTCTCCTGTAGGGATCCGCTGGAGTGCTCCGTCTACTTCACTATACAAAAGTTAGAAATGAAAAGTCGAAATGTGCAAGACTGACTTGAGACACTCTTGTTAGCGTGACCGCTTCACATAAGTGATGTATGGCACTTGAATGCGTATGAAAAGTGAACGCTCTGCAAAAGAGATTCTTCTTCAAGGTTTCATCAGCGAGAAAGAGTTTTGAGTTCTTGCAGTCAAGATGGTGCATTTAAATATTTGGTAATAGAAATCGAAGCCATTTACGCTTTCATAAGCGCATGTGCTTTCATTACACGTAATTGTGTTTTGAGTGCTGGGAGATGTGTTGTATGAGAGGAGTTTTCTTTACGCCTTTATCCAGAGCTCGTCATATACTGTATGCTTGATTTAATGCAGAAAGAATAATGCTCACACCTGCAATTTCACCCACTTAAAGTCCACAATTATTTACTTTTGTAGGTAATGCAGCCTTTCTGAAATGTTTGTAAATTAATAGTAATGCAAATTGCACAATAATATGAAATGATGTGTTGAGAAATTAAATGCACAATTGATACCATCACACCGTTATCCAATAAAACTTGACAATGCATTGCATAAAGTAAAATGCATTATATATGCATTTAATGTTTTAATAAGTTCACTTTTGAGTGTTAGCATCTCATACAATATATGATATATTTACACAAACATCAGTTGATATTAAAAACTAGTTTTTAAAATGCTACTTACAGAAAGTTAGTTAACACACACACACACACACACACACACACACACACTCACATATACTGTATATATATATATATATATACAGTATATATATGTGTGCTTCTACTTTGTAAGTCACTTTAGATAAAAGCGTCGTCCAAACTATTGGTATAAAATTAGAAGCACACAATTCCCTAGAATATCATTATATAATTAAACATTAAGATTTGTATTCATGGGAATTACTAAAGTAGTCAAACCTGTTCATTAGAAGGGGGTGTCCCAATACTTTTGGCAATATAGTGTGTATATGTATGTATGTATAATTTATATAATTTAACATTTATTGTAGATAAAAATATATATTTTGCAATTTTTAGCAATATTGTATATTATTAACAATTTTTAAAATGGCACTTAAAAGAGTATATATAACCTCAGTGAGAAATTTTATAAATAAACATTTTCATAATAATAAAATATATAAATATATATATATTATTTATATTTATTTATTTTCATGCATTCAGCAGACGCTTTTATTCATTTTATTTCACATTTCAGTTCTTGACCCATGACTTACTGCTTACATGATAATATTATAATAGGATGATATTATTTATTTATATATGTTATTATATTTTAATCATGACAACTCTCTGAAGATTTTAGCATGGTGATGGATATGACAATGTTAGTGTATTTGGTCTTGGCGGAATAGATCTGCTTCGCTGCTGCTGCTGAATTGCTGCTGGTTATTGCTGTAGTTGTAGATTATTGCTGCTGCTGCTGCTGTTGGTTATTGCTGTAGTTGTAGATTATTGCTGCTGCTGCAAGCAAGGACAGGAACTTGCTACTGCCAATGCATACGCTGATACGGTGCCGTGAGTATTTAAGACATACTGCTGCTGCAAAAATAGCATATAAAATAACCCATAGCAGATCTATACAGGTGGAGCTGGGGAAGGTGGAGGGTTTCAGAGAAACTATGAAAGTGCGCTGCAGGAATCTCAAGTGAATGCTAGCCAGCCATATAAATGCAAGGCAGTAAGCTCATTGGCTGCATATGCAGCATGAACCAATCAGCTTGTGCCAAGTCATTTACCTCTCTGAATATAATCAGTTACGTTAACAACCCGTCAGCCTGCGCCATCTAGAGTTTCATGACTAAACTATATATTTATTCTATTTGTTTTATTATTATTCCTGTGTAATGTTTATTTACAAAAACTCTGTGTATTTACAACATCTTTATTTTATTTTTTTTATTTGTTATGATTGAAGTAAAAAGGATAGTATATGGGTTTAATGTTGACTTGAAGCCAAAAGTTCTGTTCTTATGAAGTAAGTGCAGGTTTAGTAGTGGTTTGTTTGTTGACCTTCCATGCAGTAGAAAAGGTTTGTGTCTGTCTGGACGAATCAAAGTCCCCAGTGAGCCTCCTGCCCAATCGAATCCCATGCTTGGGTCTTTTTCCCACTAGCTGCTTGAGATATTACACTTGCCTTTTCCACAGCAACACACTTGGATAAATTAAATCTTCCCAACACCTCTCATTGTTAGTGTGTTCGAGTTTTTTTTTCCCCAGCTCATGTGTGTATATATGTGCGTCTCTTGCAGAGAAACAGCTGACGGCCGCTAACTGTCTGGGAGTGTTGGCCATGGCTGAGGCGATGCAGTGCACCGAACTCCACAACATGGCAAAGGCCTTCGCCCTGCAGAACTTCCCCGACGTGGCCGGTCAGGACGAGATTCTCAACATTTCCAAAGAAGACCTGGTCAGTTACATGTCCAATGACAGCCTGAACACGAAAGCAGAGGAGCTGGTCTATGAGACGGTCATCAAATGGATTAAAAAGGACCCCAGCAGCCGAGTGCAGGTAGGAGAGCAGAGCTAATCATGCTGGTTTGGTTGGTGGTCATGTATAAATACACTAGAGCTGCTCCGTATTGATTCTGGAGATCTGGTTTCTTGCATAATGTCCCTCGATAGAGAAGTTGTTCATCAAATGCAGTCCATGGGAATTTGAATGCAGCTACTTTCTCCTAAAGTTTTGGACCTTGTTTTGTGGCCTTTTGTTTTTTTTTTAAACAAAGCCAATTTATCAATGATAAGTTTATCACATCCAGTCTCCTATGTATTGTTTGTTAACTGCGGACAGTCTGAGTAGTTTGGACATATCTAGTAGAGAAGTACAGTACTGTGCAAAAGTTTGATGGTCATTATATTATATTGTGATTAAATGTGACCCTGGACCACAAAAGCAGTCATAAGTCACACAGGTATATTTGTAGCAATAGCCAACAATACATTGTATGGGTCAAAATGATATGGGTTTTAATATCCTAATGACCAAAAATCATTAGGATATTAAGTAAAGATCATATTCCATGAAGATATTTTGTACATTTCCTACCATAAATATATCAAAACTTAAGTTTTGATTAGTAATATGCATTGCTAAGAACTTCATTTGGACAACTTTAAAAGTGCGATTTTCTCAATATTAGGCTTGCAGCGATAGATGGTGCTGACGGTGATACCGGTGTTAAGCCGCAACACTGATAACGTCACTTGTCCACCACGTCACTGACCCCACCGTCATTTAGATTTTTTATAGTAACAAAAATCATTTAGTTCAGTAAAAGGACAGACACTACAATTAAAAACTGACCGCGGCTGCTCAATGCAGCGTGCCGAACGACAGTCGCATCACAGATCAGATTTCATTTCTCCAGTGAGGAGAGTGAGTCCAGCTGACTGACAAGAAGAGGGAGGTGAGACCGACAAGAAAAGTAAAATGCGCACGGCGCTTTTAAGCTATTTAAAAGCGAAGGAAAGAGGGAACGTCCCCGCCCCCGCGATGATACCAGTATTACCGGTGTTGTCATTCGTCGATTAACCAGTGGGAAAATTGTCACCATCACAACTGTAACTCAATATTTCGATGTTTTTTTTGCACCCTCAGATTCCAGATTTTCAAATAGTTGTATCTCAGCCAAATATTGTCCTATCCTAACAAACCATACATCAATGGAATCGCTTTTTATTTTTTATTACAGTCTCTTATGCTTTTATTCAGCAAAGATGTATTATATTTAGCAAAAGTGACAGTAAAAAAAAAAAAACTGAAAAAGTGCTGTTCTTTTGAACTTTCCGTTCATCAAAGATAAATTAAATAAAATGTAATAAAAAAAAATATTCAGCAGCACAACTGTTTTTAACATTAATAATCAGAAATGTTTCCTGAGCAGCAAATCTGCATATTAGAATGATTTCTGAGGGATTATGTGACACCGAAAAAGACTTTGCAGCACAGAAATAAATCACATTTTAGCATATATTCCCATAGAAAACATTTATTTTAAATGGTAATAATATTTCGTAATATTGCTGTTTTTATTGTATTTTTTAGCATGCAAATGCAACATTAGTACGCTTAAAAGTGTTCTTTAATAAAAATCTAATTGATTCTAAATTTTTGAACTGTAGTTAAATACATATACAGATGTGGTGAACGTGAACAGCTTGATTTGCTGATTTATTTGGAGTTTTGGGGTTTTTTAGAGTACAAACTCTAAATTTACAGCAAGGTGGACCTATAAGATTGAGCATCCATCAAATAAATTAATTGTTATCTATCTGTCCCAGAATAAGAAAGTGAAATGTAAACCATTGCCTCGTCTGAATGTTTACCCATGTGTGTGCTTAACCAGAACTTCATCCCTTGTGTTTAAGCTGGATCTTTCATTGCTATACAGCACACAGAGATGTGTGTTTGGATCTTCTGTGGCCAGAAGAGGTGCAGAGCAGCTCTGAATTGGGGTGGGGGGTAGAAACATAACTGAATTGCGAGATTAAATCACTGGTTTGCGTAGCAAGTAATCAATTTCAGGAAATGTGCTTCTTTCCTGAGAAAGGTATTTTTCCCTTTGAGGTGCAGTAGACTTTACTGATGTGCGTATCTGTGTGAGCATTCAGAGCAGGTCTGAAAAGAGTCCTGGTAATATGGCAGATGAAACATTCATGATGCGGTGCTCACGCCGAGCGTGTGAGGAGATTACCATCCTGAGAACATGCCGTCATTTCCTTACGTTAAATCTACTAAAAGCCACTCGATTACACACTCTTCTGTAGCACAAAGGAGAGAAACGGACTGAACAGGAGGCTTATCATCCCACTCCAGCTGTACATCAGAGCTTCACGGCTGTGTGAAACCAAATGCAGGCCAAGATGTTACTTCTCTTTACAAAAGGTTAATGTATTTAAAAAAAAACAAAGTAGTTTTTGGCCAGTAATCACCAAAAATCTGTTTCAGCCCACCATGGCTCTTTTCCAAAAACCTAGGGAGCATTTAAAGGATTACTTGTGTTCCTGACGTGAAGGTAAAATGATTAAATAAATAATGAAATATGGAAGCTTTTTCCCCCACAATGAAATAATAAAAAAGTTTGATACTTGAGATACTTTGTATTAAAATCTCACATTTCTAAGAAAAAAGTTTGAATTGCAAGATATAAACTTGATATTCTAAAAAGAAATGTCTGAATTGTGAGATATAAACTAATTTTATTAAAATAAATTGTAGGGAAAAAGTCGAGCACCTTTTTTTATAATTTTTTTTTATCCTGTGACAGAAACTATGTAAACTTACAGTTTATAACTTGCAAAAAAGTCATAATTGTAGGGTATAAACTCAAAATATAAAGAAAAAAATATGAGTTCATATCTTGCACATGTGAGATTGTCAAAATTGAGAAACATAAAACAAATTGTGGGGTATAAAGTAAACTTGCAATTGTGAGAAACAAGTGTTTTTTGCTAGTTTCAGTTGTCATTTTCACGTCCTGCGCCACGTTGTTTAAATAGCAAATGCATTTGCGCCCATTTGTGCGCTCATGGGCGTGCTGGTCTGAAAACGAGGTGTGTTCAGGCGCATTGTTGGCGCGTTGCTATTTTGAGGCAACTGAAATAGACTGCACCATTGACCAACAAAAACCTGGTCTAAAGTCAATAGCGCAGTAGTTTTTTTGTTATTTAAAGAGCGCGTTAGTATAGGCGGGTCCACAGCGCGCGTACACTCTGCTTATTACACACAGGGACGCACAGCATCACACAAACATGCCAAATATTAAAAATTAAAGGATTGCAATGTAAAAGATTATTGTGTAGGCTACATAAATATAAAAATGCCTACATGTCATAATGGATAGTCATTGCATGTATCAGAATTAGGCTACCTATTT